AAAAAAAAAAAAGAATGGAAACTGGAATTTAGATGATTTGTGATAAGAGGTTTGGATGATTCAGAGCAGAAAATTGAAAAGGGAAATAGCCAAGTGACTCATCGCCCAAAGCAGAAATGAACCGTGAGTTCTCTAGGTCTATAGGTGGCTGATTGATGGATGAACCATCAACATTTTCTTTACTGTATTACGTTCCCAATGTGACTCAACAGACCTAATAACTCACCCATCGCCTGGATTCAGAAATAGGCCCAACATAAGTTGTCCAAATTTGGGAGAATGGTTAGATGGTCATCTGGATGGTAGTTAGTGTAAGATTGTAATGCCAATCGGCATGAAGATGAGTATCAAGTAATTTAGATTCTCATCTCTCCATAAATTGTGCTGATGTTATAAGCTTTTCTTTTTCTTCTGGCAATACTCTCTTTAACCCCATTAGGTTCAATATTCCTTATACATAAGTTACCTATGTAATTGCAAAACTCTTAAGAATGCAGATGTTGTCGTTATCAAAGCACATTTAGAACACATTAATAGATCTGACTGTAAATAGATTCTTCTGTATTCAAATATTCATCCCACCAACAAGCATTTATTTAGCACCTGTCCTCAGTGCAAAAGGTGGGTGGGAGGAGAGGCAGACCTCAGAGATGGCATGGAGTTCTCAGGAAAGAGGCAAAGAGAGCCAGGAGCTGAACTTCACTGTCAGTGGGAGAAGGAGGACAAAGTTCTTTCCTACTTTCCCCTGTTTTTAGGCTTCCCCAGCCTAGGGCTGTCCGATTCATGGGTCCTCTCTGAATTTGCACTAGACCAGGATACCTCTTTAACGTGAAGCACTCATCACCCTTGGAGACAGCCCCAGTCTGTCCAGGTGGAGAGGATGTCCACTGACAAGACTGTGAAAGAGAAGTCTTGTCAAATCTAAAAAAGGCAAGGGTAACTCCTTCCCAGATGTTCAGCTCTCCCTAAAGCAGACATGCCAATTATGTCTGCTGTTTCTGAAAAAATTATCATTTTCCATCAGAAATGCAGTTCTGAGTGACTGCCAATTTCCTAAAATGTTTTCAGATTGAGGAAACCTTTATTTATTTATTTATTTAGTTAGTTTTTGAGACAGAGTCTCGTTTTGTCGCCCTTGGTAGAGTGATGTGGCATCACAGCTCACAGCAACCTCAAACTCTTGAGCTTAAACGATTTTTGTGCCTCAGCCTCCCGAGTTGCTGGGACTACAGGAGCCTGCCACAGCTATTTTTTTGTTGTAGTTGTCATTATTGTTTTTAGTAGGCCCGGGCTGGGTTTGAACCCACCAGCCCTGGTGTATGTGGCCAGCACCCTGGCCGCTGAGCTACATGAACCAAGCTGATCCAGGAAACCTTAAAAACTGTTTACAAGAAGCAAGAGAAGCGATGGAATAATGTTCGGACCGTATTGACCCTTTGAAATGAACTTCTATTCCCTAAAGCTTGTGAAGTGGGGGGAAGGTACAAACCTTTTAAAAAGTGTGTGGATTCTTTGGTCTACTGACCTCTGGTCTACTGACTCTAATCTCTCTGCCACTCTTCTTCTCTCTTTTTAATATTTCTCACCAGGGTATGGGAATATTGCTCCAAGCACTGAAGGAGGCAAAATCTTTTGTATTTTATATGCCATCTTTGGAATTCCACTCTTTGGTTTCTTATTGGCTGGAATTGGAGACCAACTTGGAACCATCTTTGGGAAAAGCATTGCAAGAGTGGAGAAAGTCTTTCGAGTGAGTATTGCTTCCTACTTGCACCCTAACCACTATGATCCAGTTGGCTGCAGCCCGCAGGATCCAGAAGGCAGTGTCAGGGCATCGTCTGCTTTTAATGGAATAGTTCTGTGTCATGATTGTATATTCTGCTTTGGCCGATTGCAATTGGAGACGCTGAGCCCAAACCCCCTCCTCTTGCATAGCTTTGTGTTTTAGAAGGTTTTTCTGCAATCACAACAGAGGGGAATTAAGTATGAATTTACCAATACGGATTTTCCAAAGAGGTGAGATAAACTCGGTTTCTCCCTAAAGATGGAAGATGGGTTCCTTGTTGTGTTTGCCATGAAGCAGAGAATTGTCAGTCCATCCATGTTGTTTTGGGTGCTTCTTCACTCTATCTTATTTCCAACCACAGCATCTTCAGACTAATCCTGGTTTCTTCTAGAAGCTTGCATTCCTCCAGACACGGTTCTGGGCATTGCACCCGTCTCCTAATGGCTTCTCCCTCTTCCTCCTCCCACTGCTGAGTGCTCCTCAGCACTTGGGATTAGTAATAATTAGCTCCTCAGCAATAGTATCCTGATGTACTATTTTATACTACAGTATTAATGACTTCCATTGCCTCAGTGGGCATTTTCTCCCATGTTGGGAATATTTATCTTTAAACAAGGGACAAACTTCTCAACTCAAGGGATTTATTTACAAAGGATGGTATTCCTGGCATCAGCGACAAGCATGTGGAGCAGATGAGTGATTGAACTGGGGTTCCTGAAACCCTTTAACTCACACTCATTCATACGATTTCACAGAACACTTATTTTGCTTAGGTGCAAGGTCATTTCTGCTCTCTTACTCAGTACTGACCTCATTCTCGAGTCTTTCAAACCTACTTCAGAGAATTCTTTCTTATGATGACAATATTTAAAAATGACATCTAGAAATGATGGGCAAAGGTAGCTCAGTAGTAAGCTCTAAAGCTGTGCTTTCCTCCTCTCTGAGATAAGAACTCTCAAACTTTGAGTTCAAGACTGTGTCTCTGAAATCCCGGTTTATACTTCTCTTTATAATGTAAGAGAGTCTCCCAGTTGAGAAGTGTCAGAGTTGTTTTTATTTAAGAGGAGAGTGGGAGAAATAAGGCTCCATAGTTAGATGAGAGCCACTGTTTATAAGCTCAGGGATCCTGGATAAGTTAACTGCCTCACTTTACTCATCCACAAAAGGGTATGGAACTTAAATCTACTTTCTAAGGTTTTGGTGATGATTAAATGAAATAGTGTGTGGAAAAGAACTTGGCACAGGGCTAGACCCATACAGCCCAGAGCTGCTGGGCACTCTGTCTCACAAGAGAAGCCACTGTGAGCAGGGTAGCACCTCATTCAGGTTTCACTGAGTATCTCCGTGCTGTTTGCTTTATTGGAATGTCCCACAGCCTTTGCTCCCTAAGCGCTGGGGCTCCTTAGAGTGAACACTTGAGCGCTTCTTAGAGTGGTCACCATGGAAACCGGCAGTGTTCAGCTTCTCTGTTTCTCAGATGTTTAGTTCTCCCTGCACCAGACACGGCAGCCTGTCTCAGAGTTGTTTTAAACTTCTCAGAGGTACCCTCTTAGCTACCACCTTGTAGCTCTTTAAGTTTGGACTAAAAGCTTTTGAAATTCCCCTTTGCCAAGAAATTTTAATTACTGTATTCTAAATGAGGGACAAAGAGGTTGTAATTGTTTGGACTACATCTGCTACTAAATTCAGGGACTTAGTTTCCCCTAATTTGAATTCCAGACAGACAGGGTGGTACTGTTCTGCTCCCCCCTAAAGCTGCCTCTTAAATGGGTCATTCAACAGATTCTGGGACTGAGCCTTAAAAACCTCACATTTCATCTTTATGCTGATTGTCTGCTTGGTTTTCATGTAGCGCCATCAAAGACCAGGAGTCTTTTAGGAAGGCCAGACAGATGTAAATTATTGAATTGGCAGCACAAAAGGAATGCATTTGCCAAATGTTGGAGGGTGGCTATTGGAAGGGGTGACTGAATTCGAAGAGGAATATAAGCAGATTTCCTGAATATACAATCGATTCTGTATGTAGGGTTTGGTAGAAAATCTCTAAGCTCTTTGCCATTCATTTAAACTACATTTAAAAGGCCAGTTATGGATAGGTGATTAATTGGGAAGTGAAAATCATATACACTAAGAAAGCTTGGGGGTGTGAATTCGTACTTTTCACGGGGAAGCTTTACTTACCTTTTTCCTGCTTAACGATTATTTGTCTTCATTGATTATGTTTCCTCCCAGCTCTTGGGAGGAGAGGACTTACTGTGGAGCAAAAATAAAATATACAGTAGGCCTTCATCTTGAGGTGACTCTGGTTTGGATCTTTCCAACACATCTCAGATCTGATCCTTGTTGTAAAGAATTAAAGAGGGGTATTGAATTACTTCAGAGTGCTTTTGGTTGCAGAATAATAAAATGCCTGACTGTTGGGGTTTTTATGGAATGAATAAATAAAAACTCTTTCTTCTCCTCTGGAGTTCAGAGCTAATTGGAAATCGAGGAGTCAAATGGAGAGCAGAATGTCAGTTTATTGCTGATAAGCTGATCCAGAGATGCAGCTTTAGCTCTGTTGCCAAAAGGTCCACTTTATTGTAAATTAAGTCTTTCCTGCTGTATTGGTTTGCTATTGCGGTGCAGCAGATGACCACAGATACAGCAGCTTAAAACAACAATTTTAAATGGCCATCTTGTGCCGCCATTTAGGATGTTTAATTTGGCTTTCAGAAGATGTTCAAAAATAAGGGAAAAAGAAAGGTGCCAAATTCTTTAGACACGTGTAAGCACATCAAAATGAAATCAAAATTAGGGTGCTCACAAAATTTTAAGCTGGGTGTGCAAACCAAGTAAAATATTAAACTAACATTTTAGTTTATGGTGTGTAGAAAGAACCGAAGATGAATGCAACAGAAAAGACACTCATCACAGACAACATGTAAATTCTGTAGAAAGCGGAGTACTCAAACCAGAAAGACGCTTGCTTTTATGCCAGAAAGGGCTTTCCAAAAACAAAAACAAAGCACCCCTCTTTTAGCGTCCCAAGGGAGACATGGGAGTTCCTTTATTTAAGGTAGCCTCACAGCCATGGCAGATTCTGCATAAAGTTCAAAACAAAACCAAAAGGCCTTAAAACAAACAAAAACTCACCAAAGGGAAGGCACCCAAGAATCTCATTTCACTGAGGTCAAAAAGGTAACTCACAGATGTGGAGAGCACAGAGGGATCAGTTAGTATCACACTTGATTCCAGGGGCCTCTGATTCCTATGGGGTGAGCTCACTTCCATCCCACTTCTGACACCGTTTATGTCACCTTCTATAACAGCCAAAGAGAGGCTCATTAAAAGAGAATGATATTTATTCAAGAATGGGCATTGCAGTGGTAATACACATGCCATTGTGAACTGTGTATGTATTCAGGGAGGTAAAGGAAGGCAAAGATTTTTAAAGGAGAAATGAGAAAGATGACATAATTCTTTAGAGATAATTACCTTGGCTGTAGGGATCAATAACAAGGGTATGACCAGTCCAGGGTTGGAGGGGCAGTTGCTGGGCAGGCGTATTTTTTTGCAGAAGTACTTTTTTTAGTGTAAGCTTGTAATGACCTTTGTGCAAGGCTGTGTTTTTTTCAGAGTCTTTTATGATATTATAGTTATTATGATCCAGGATTTGTGCATGAGAACCCTCCCTTTCTCACTCTGTTGGTTGGCTGTTGGTCAGAATTTTTAACATAAGTAACTATTTTGATACCGTAACTGTTGATTCTGACAACTCCCACACCCCCAATACTGATTAGTAATGGGGTGAGAATTTAGATCCTTACCTCTCACAGCAAGAAGCCTGGAGGTAGGTTGAATCAGAATGGTGCCGCCGGTTCCACAATGTCAGTTGTACCAAGATTTGTTCCCTCTCTCTGCTCTGTTCTCCCTGGCATGTTGGCCCTTTATGCTCAGGCTTGTCAACTCATGGTTGCAAGATGGGTGCCCATGACCAAACATCACGTCTTCACCCAACCTCATTGAAGGCAAGACAAAAAGAACCCCTCCCTTTTTTTAAAACAAAAAACTTTTTAAGAAGAGTTTTATATTCACAGCAAAATTGAGAGGAAAGTACAGATATCCCATACGCTCCTCGCCCCCACATGTGCATGGCCTTCCCCGTTATCAGCTTCCCCCTCCAGAGTGATGTTTGTTACAATTAATGAGCCCACATCAACACATCATTATCACCCAGAGTGAATAATTTACATAAGTCTATGGATTTGGGCAAATTTACAGTGATGTGTATCTGCTATTATAGTATCATGCGAAGTATTTCACTCTCCTAAAATTCCTCTGCCTATTCATCTCTCCCTCTCCTCTAACCACTGACAACCCCTCATCTTTTTACTCTGTCTGTGGTTTTGCCTTTTCCAGAACGTCAGATAGTTGGAATCATACTGTATGTAGACTTTTCAGATCGGCTTTTTTAACTTAGTAATATGCATTGAAATTTCCTACATGTCTTTTCATGGCTTGACAGCTCATTTCTTTTTAGTGCTGAATACTATTCCATTTTCTGGATGTACCATAGTTTATTGATATTTCTCCATTCCTCTCCTAAAGCACATCTTGGTTGCTTTCAAGTTTCGGCAATTATAAATAAAGCTGCTGTAAACATGCCTACGCAGGTTTTTTTGTGGGGACATAAATCTTCAACGTCTTTGGATAAATATAAAAGTATGTGATTGTTGGATCGTATGCTAAGAGTATGTTTAGTTGTCTAAGAAACTGCCAAAATGTTTTCCAAGGTGGCTGTACAGTTCTGCATTCCCCCCAGCAATGAATGAGCGTTCCTGCTGCTCCACATCTTCATCAGCATTTGCTGTTGTCAGTGTTCTGGATTTTTGCAATTCTAAGTGTGTGGTGGTATCTCACTTTAATTCGCATTTCCCTGATGATACATCATGTGGAACATCCTTTCATATGCTTATGTACCA